TACATAACTTAATGATGATTCAGAGGGACATTTTCCCCATTTATATTACATATCTTGACAACCTAGTAGACTTCTTGTGTCACGAGTAGACTTCTTATCAAGTAGACTTCTCTAGACTCGAGTAGACTTCTTAAAGACAATAATAATACATAACTTAATGATGATTCAGAGGGATATTTCCCCCATTTATATTACATATCTTGACAACCTAGTAGACTTCTCGTGTCACGAGTAGACTTCTTATCAAGTAGACTTCTCTAGACTCAAGTAGACTTCTTAAAGACAATAATAATACATAACTTAATGATGATTCAGAGGGACATTTCCCCCCATTTATATTACATATCTTGACAACCTAGTAGACTTCTCTTGTGTCAAGTAGACTTCTCGACTTGTTCAGATTCAATCAGCACCATCATCGAATCTCTACATATGATTTTATTGAAGTTAGACTACATAACGACTTGGCATGTGATAAAACAAAACACACTAAGTACAATGTAAATATTAACTTACACAATAGGGGCGAGTATGACCAGGTTGCTTGCACTTGGAGCAACTGTATTGCTTATGCATCTTTCTTGGTCTTGTGCCTTTCTTCCTAGACATTTCTAGCCAAGTTTGCCATCTAGATTTTTTCTTTCTTCCAGGAAGAATCTTTATGACTGGAACACCACATGGTTCCTTCTTGACATCATTTTCATCAGAAATAGGCGGGTTAATGGGATGGGAGTATGCCGCATATAAGGATTCCCATGAGTAAGATGGACACACAAGTGTTGACAGTTTCACGTTGGCCTCTTCAACCGCTGCAATAACATGTGAGCAAGGGATTTTTTCAACATCATACACACCACAAGAACACTTCCTTTGTTGCAAATCAACAATACAATCTCGTGCTCCACCCTTAACAAAGAAACGCCAGCCATCAATGGGTTCTGCCTTCAAATCTCATGCCTCATATTCTCGAATTGCCAATAGATACTCTACTCCACGGGTATGGCTCGTTGTGAGACTTAGAGCATCTTCACGCCTTTTATGATACCATCTCCCGAGCTTTGTTCTTATAAACTCTAACAGAAATGTGATGGGAAACCCTTTGGCTTCCTTAACAGCCGCATTGATCGATTCTGCGATGTTGCTAGTCTTTATGTTGTACCTGTCTCCCGGGAAATGGACTCGTGACCATAACCTCGGGTCCGCAGTCTCCAAATATTGAGCAAGTCTGGGGTTTACCTCTCGGATTGCATCCATGTATCGATTATAATCGTAAGTCGTATGTGCATATGCAGCACCTTTCACCAAGTACATGAGTTGCTTCCCGTGAAACTTAGTCACAATGTTTTGCTGTAGATGATAGTAACATATACCTCGTGTTGCCCATGGTATGACATTCTTAAATGCATCAGCTATGGAGTCGTGCCGGTCAGAAACTAGGACAAGCGGATACCCATCTGAGAAACATCTACTCAATTTGGTGAAAAATCAATTCCATGAATCATTACACTCAGAATCCACAATTCCAAAAGCCAAAGGAAATATCTGAAAGTTACCATCCCTTGCAGCTGCCACTAGCAAAACACCTCCATACTTCCCAGTTAGATGAGTCCCATCTACAACAATCACTCGCCTCAAGTACTTAAAACCAGCTATGGAAGCTCCAAATGAAATAAACAGGTACTTAAATCGATCCATCTCATCGCATACAAGGTCTGTGACACTTCCCGGATTAGCTCTCTCAATTTGACGCAAATGAGAAGGCAGCTTCTCATATCCATCTTCTGCTGTTCCTCTCACCAATTGTTGGGCATATATCAAAGCTCTATAAGATGTGGTGTAACTGAGGTTTAGACCAAACATCACCTTCATAGAATCTCTGATATGCTTTGGCACAATTCCATCGATTATGCCAACTCGTTCCACAAACAGAGCCCCAATGTACTTAGGTGTACAACGTCTACGATGAGCTGACCGGTCTATCACAGAACAAGTATGATCTTTCAGATACTTTGTCACCCAAAATGTGTTTGCTTCGTTCTTCACACCCGCTCTAACCATCCAAACGCATCCTTTGACTGAACATTTTGCTACAAACAAAGACATTGTAGACTTATATACTTTGAAAGCAAATCTCTTCATAACTGCCATCAATCGCAACTCAGATACAAGCTTCTCCTTGCTAGGAAAACTCTGATTAACAAAGATTTTAGACGACCAACTACTATCCAGTCGATCAAAACCACCACAACGCTCTCTTACACCCTCAACTTCATCCTCATCTTTAACTTTTCCGTACTCACTGTAATCCACATCTGAGTCATCATACTTTTCTTTCATATTCTGATTAACTTCATCTTCATTCAAACTATCAGCTTCATCCTCATTTTTAACGTTTTCATCCCAATCTTCAGCGTCTTCATCCCAATCTTCTTCAGCATCAGAGCACGTATCCGCATGTCCATCCACATCATCATTCTCATGGTCCACTATCCTACTCGAAACACAAAGGCGAACACCATGCATCTTACTTAACTCAATCAAGCTCTGAACATGTCTATCATTTGTGACATACATAGGCGGAGAATCAGGAGGCATTTGTTGAAGCATCTGAGGTGGTAAGGGATAGGATAACTCCACCTTTGTTTCCTTTTCCAGCATATAATCCTCTTGCACCATTCCAAGAAGCTCAACATGTGTGCAACCATCTCTTAAGAACAACATCCGCCCTCTTTTGTTATTATCCACCTCGAACTGCCAAACTGATTCAGTCTTAACCCATTCTCCATAAACAGCGGGTATGTGAACCATTCTCTGTGAAAAAAAAAACCAAATCCAAACCACATTAGACATCAACGTTGCATAAGTAGACTTCTCGGTAAGTCGAATGAAGTCTACTTAGAAGACTTCTATAGTAGACTAAGAAGTCTACTCTTAATAAGCTAAGTATCATATAAAACATGAAAACTCATTCGACTATACCTATAAAATATAAACATGCAAAACTTATACATAAGCAAGAAAACTTAATAACAGAAGCTTAGGATCACGAAAATCATAAAAATTCGTTATATATTGTATATAAATGATTTTTTTAAAAAAACAAGAAAAGTAGACTTCTCGGATAAAAGTAGACTTCTCGCAGGTTAGTTTTGCAATTGCCAAAATATTAGTAGACTTCTCTATGAAAAGTAGACTTCTCAGAGAAGTCTACTTCGCAGGTCATTTTTGCAATTGCAAAATATTTGACTTTTTGGTCAATTGCAAAAATGACCTGCGAGAAGTCTACTTTCTAAAGTAGACTTCTCGGAGAAGTCTACTTCCGTAAGTAGACTTCTCGGAGAAGTCTACTCTGAAAAGTCAAAGGTTGGTCAATTGCAAAAATGACCTGCTTCTAAAGAAGTCTACTCGAGAAGTCTACTCCATTTTTTTTGTTATCAAAGGAAATGGAGTAGACTTCATTCGGACCAAAAGAAATCTACTTTTTCATGCGGTCAATTGCAAAACTAACCTGGGCGTTGACTAGTAGACTTCATTCGGACCGAGTGAAGTCTACTTTCGAAGCCCAGAACTGAAAAACACTAAAATTGACTGAAAATCCGACTTACCACTCGCCTTTAGCTTCTTTTCTGGTCAAGATCTTCGATCCTAGCCACAATGAAAGAAGCACAACCGCAACAAACAACCAAATCGCCGGAATATAGAAATTTTTATGAACTTCAACTTTTTAATAGACAAATTATAGAGTTTTTGGGAAGAAAATAGAGAGGAAATGGAAGAATAGAAGCTTAAAGGGAAAATAATGAGCTCAACAAACTCAAAAATGGGTTTTTGCCACCATTAAAGCTTCAAAATTGGTTGAAAATGGTGGTTGGGTGAATTGATGATGATGACATTTTCGTAAATAAGTGAGGAAGATGAGGATTAGTTGGTCAATTGATTTTCCGAAAATAAATAAAATTAATTAAAAACAATGGCAATTTCGTGAATAACTGAAACTATGAGGGATTGTTTGGACACAAAATGACAAATGTTGAGAAGGTGATTTTTGTGGGTTAGATTTGCAATTCAAATCAAATTTTAAGTCATTTTTGCAAGTATCCTTTAATTTATATATGATTTTTAGATAAAAAATATGGTATATAGCATTATTGCATACTTTTTTTAGTAAGATAATATGTGTTTGTATTACTGCATTATTGCATTTTTTTTAGTAAGATAATTAGTTTGTCGGCTTTAAATCAGTCAATTTAATTACTGTAATTGTTTTTATAAATTGATAATATTATGATTTTAATATTTTATTAATTTATAGAATTATAAATTTATCAGTTTTGGAACTAAATAAATTATTTATTAATAATTAATTAAAAATATATTTGTTTTAAAGTTAATGATATCTTTAAATATTTCACTTTTAAATTGTAAATAAACCATACATTAAAAACAAACCATTATATATTTATATTTTAGTAAATTATCATAGTTATAGATTTATATAAAATTATTTTATTATAATTATTAATTTATGATATTAATGAAACTATATCTTTATATAGATTTTTCTAAAAAATATTATCTGATCGATTTGTATCATATTTTGAACAAGTCCAATTTGGGACTAAGAAAGTTATTAATTTTTTAACTAATAATATTTAAAATAAGTAATAAACTATTTAACTAATAATATTTAATTATTTAAGAGTCAAAAATAATTAATTATGTACATAAATATTGTATACCCAAATTATGGATATTGGTAAAAATAATGAATCATAACATTAGTTACGGGATATAAAAAATTTGTATGGTAATTTCGTATTTTTATCCAGCTATATCAGATATTATGCATGCTAATTAATTTTTAAATTAATCTAAATTAATTTATATTACAATTAAATTATTTTATATTTCATAAAAAAATAAATATAAAACTATATTTACAATAAATTTAATTATATTATATTAAATAATAGTAATTGTTTCACTGTGCGGATTATTACCTTATTCTAATATTAAAATATCAGCCGCGCCTCTTTCACTTCAACCTTCCTCAATTCACTGGCTATGGAAGAAGCTTAAAGCTGGGAGGTTATGGCTGTAGAACTCGATTCTCGTATGGCTATGTGGGATTTTCTCGCCAATGGTCTCTCTTGCTAGCTTCAGCGCCGTGTAAGTAAACCTTTCTTGCTGGATTTATGATTTTGGGATTCTTAATTCGATAGAGTCCAAATTCTTATCCTGGCATTTTAATTTTCCGAAGCCATGAATTGCTTTTCATTCTTGTTTGCATAAGAACCAGTCTGATGTTTTTAATTGTCTGAAGCCATACTAGTAATTTTATGGTTTGTCTGATTGTTTTTGCCTCTTCTGATTTCAGGATTTCTACGCTTTGATATCGAATTTCTAAGCTCAGCTCAGCGTTAAAAGATGAAAATTCTTCGCAAGCTCAAATTTCCCTCGAGATCTAAGACGCAGATCTTTGCGTTTACAGTCACCGGCGTAGCTCTTACCGGCGCAGCCGCAGTTTCTGTTCTCCAAACCCCTCCTTCATTTCATTATCTAAACAAAATCGCGACGGCGATAGAAGGCGTCGTCCGTTCTTCTCGCACTATCTACGCCGTTCGTAGTTTCTCTTACTTCTATCGGATGTCACAGTTCTCATTTCCAGTTTCGTTCATTCTCTTGCTATCTACTTGCAGATCACTCTCACCGTCGCCGATTACAAGTACAGTTTGCGTGGATTTCCGGTGGAATCCGATAAATATCTTCAGAGATTGACAGAGGTATCAACAAAGGAATTGATACTTGCCTAGACCATGTTAATTTTGATTCATGTGGTTGTAGTAGCCATCGATGCTTTAGTCAAATACTTTGTTTGTAGTTTCAATTATATACTGATTTTTAGTGTTTTAATGGGGAAAGGGAGGTTATATTGCAATTTACTTTTCTAGTTGTTGGTGTTATGATGATTTAAACATTTTATTCTTTTTGTTTAGTTGTATACTTTAAACGCTATATAGTCGTTTTTTTATTTTGTAGGTTCATTCGCGGTCTGCGGGAAGAATTCTTAAACTGTGTGAGAGTAATAAAGGTTTTTATGTGAAAGCTGGCCAGTTCGTGGCCACGTTGAAGCTGGTTCCGAAAGAGTACTCTTTGGCTCTTTCCTCGTTGCAGGACCAGGTGTGAATACTATTATGATTAAGTTTATACTGTATGTGTTTTGCTTAATCGTTTTCCCTCTTCTGATAAATATGGAATTGTTTGGTTTCACAAGAGATATATGAAGAAATGGTTCTGATTGTTTGTTCTGTTTCTAATGTGTTATCTTGAAAAACATTACTGAAGGCAGTTCCTTGTAATTTCCGAGATATAAAACACGTTCTGACAAGCAACTTGGGTCAAGATCTCACAGAGATGTAAGTCTTTTAAAGTTATTCCATTGCCATATATGTTTATACTGTCACAGAGATCTAAGTCATTTTATTTTGCGAGAGGTTTAACATTCCATATGGTCACAATGTCAGATTTTTATCTTTTGATGAGGAACCAATTGCGGCAGCATCTATTGCTCAAGTACATCGTGCTGTATTGAAGGATCATCAGGAAGTAGCAGTAAAGGTTAACTACTCACAACAACAATTACTGTTTTAAAATTTTCAACAATGTTTTCATCATCTTTACGAAATTCTTGAAAATTTGGTCTTTGAATAATTTCTTATTCTTTTCCTGTCTATCTTATATACTTTGTTTTGTCATTTATGATGATGTTTCTTAAAGATGTAAATGGCCATACCTTGATTGTGATTAGTCTTTGTTACTTTTGAAATAGTTGCAATACCCTGAATTGAAGCAGAACATGAAGTTGGATACAATGATCATGTCGTTCCTTTCGAAATCCGTTGTAAAGGTGCTTTGTAAATATTTTTGGTTCTTTGTTTTAATGCCTCTGTTTTCTGATGATTGCTTTTGAGGCTTTGGTTTTGGAGTTTGATGTGGAACTCTTTCTTTTTTACTTCCTTCTAACTTCATTAGTTTTCCGGTGATTGTTACCTTAGCTTGTGTTGTTGTGGAAAGTGTTAGTTGATATCAACGATGCAATTACATGAATTATGTTTGCATCTTATTTTTATATACGAGGCTGTGTATCATATGCAGCCGCTTATAGTTTCTTAGAGTCCTTTTTGTTTTCACTTCGCAGATTTTTCCAGAATACAGATTTGAGTGGCTGGTTTATGAATTCGTAAAGTCGATTTCCCAGGAACTTGGTCAGTAACCTAAAACTTTGGAGCCAAGCACTACATGTGTTTGTGTTTTATTCTTCACTTAATCTGAAGCTGAAACTCTCAACATCAATGGGCCCTAGATGTACACATTGTGTAGACGTGTTATAACTTATAAGACGTATAGTATTTGGTATTTTATATAGTGTCTGATGGTTCATTTTTGTTTTTTCCCCTTCTTCTTTACAGATTTTATACAGGAGGCAAAAAATTCAGAGAAAATTGCCAAAAACTTCAAACATAATAAAATGATTACTGTTCCTGCTGTGTTTTGGGTATGACTGAATAATTTTAATAACTGTCATAATCATTGATTGCATGGTCTTTGATTCTTTTTTCTTGTTTGTTCTGAAGTGTCTTAGTACATGTTGAATCGCCATTTTTGTTTTCTTAATTTTACCTTCGATATTAATATTCAGGAGTTCACAACTACTCAAGTCCTGACAATGCAGTTTTGCAAGGGTTTCAAGGTAATGACGTTCAACACAGTTAACCATCTACACGGTTTATCTGTTTATCAACTATACAAATTTTGCAGAAATTCAGATTTTTTCTTCATTTTTTTGGCAAATCTTGATTATCCTAGATCTGAATTCCTTGATATTCATTAAGAAATACGTGAAAACTGAAGATAAAAGTCATTTCAAACTAGATGTTATTGAGAGCTTATAGGCTTATAGAAAATGGGAAAACAATGTTGGAATTTGATCAGTTTAGATATTTAACCATTTCTAGTAAAAGACACTTTAGTAGTATTTGAATTTAGTTCAGTACATACTTGATTTCATGTACATTATATGTCGTTTACTCAAACCGCTATATATATTTTTGTTTTCCTTTTGCTACAGATTTGAATCTGAATACATTTTCCCACCCAATGGGACCTCTTTGTGTTTCTTTTGTCAGTTTGTGGGTTAATCGTGTACATTAACATTGTAATTTATATATATTATTATATCCACTCTTAAAATCTTCATGCATCTTCTTGTGTGTACTCTATTTCTTGTATGTTCAACCAACTCAAACTTCCTTAGATTTTCAGGTTGATGATGTGGAATCCCTCAAGAGCACTAATTTAAGTCCAACAAAGGTTAGTAACAACTTCCATATGCATACATGCGTTTGATATCTTTGCTAAACTATAATAGTTTTTTCACTTATTATCATAGGTTGCTAAAGTTTTGGTTGAAGTATTTGCTGAAATGATATTTGTTCACGGATTCATACATGGCGATCCGCATCCCGGCAACATACTAGTTTCTCCTGGGGGCCCGAACGACTTCTCTTTAGGTACGTTTTTGTGTTCTTGATTCTTGTTCTTGACCTCTCGCTGCTTTCTTGATTTTAACTGAACGTTTTAGCATTCTTCTTACTGTTTGAAAAGTTCTTCTAGATCATGGGAACTGTAAAACATTGGACGAGGGATTTAGGCGGGACTTTTGTCGATTATGGGAGGCTTTGATTCTTCTAGACTCAAACAAAATACAGGAATTAGGGAAACGGTTTGGTGTTGGCAAATATTCCAAATTCTTCCCTGTCATTTTCACTGGAAGAACTAGTGAAAGGTAGGCTTTTGTTTTGCCAGTTCTATTGAAATCTTCACATACACTATACTATAGTAAAACCAGTGATGCGTTTCTTTTTTACTATTATCAATTGTAAAAAGTCTTCATCTTTCTTCTTGGTGATAGCAAATCAGGATTGGGAAAAGGAATGTCTATACAAGAGAGGCAAAAACTGAAACAAGAGCTGAAGCTTTTGAGATTGGAAGATGTAACAACTTTCATGGGGTCTCTTCCACCAGACTTTCTCACCGTTCTGCGAACAGAGTACGATCCTCCATCCTCATTTTTCATCCATGGCTTTCGTTGTGTGCACTAACTCTGTTTTGTTTGATCACAGTGGACTCATACGGTCAATCACCTTGAAGTTGGGTGCTCCACAACGTGCGAGACTACTCGCTTACGCCAAATATGCGGTATATGGGCTTGGCTACAACCAGCCTTCTGAATCAGGTAACTCTGCTCTGATATCATTACACCTTTTTGTGTTCTTACTCTCATCGGTTTATTGGCGAGTTTGGAAGTTCTTGCAATAACATATAAACTATTTTCTTACTCTCATCAATTTACTGGCGAGTTTGGAAGTAATCTGTTCAGTTTTACAAGGATGAAGCTAAAAACTTAGGTTTTGGTTTTTCTTTTTCCAGATTTTGTTGAGAAGTCGATGATATCCAGATCTGTGTTGTTGATCAGCTACCTTCGCTTACGTTTTATTCTAGGTAAAGAAACTCGTATATCTACATAATCAGTTTTACTCAGAAAATTTGTGTAAATTTTCGGTTACTGTTTTATGGTTTCAGAATTGGTTGAACTTTTTCAAGGAGTGAAGAAGCTAAAACATACAATCTATACTTTCTTTGGACGAATCTTTGACGGCATCACAAATAGTGTTAAGGCATCACCGAGTATTACTTGCATTTTATGAAAATATTATGCTGGAGACATTAGTTAGAAACAGTCTGATGTTTTAGGCCTGAAGCAAGCGGATCGGAAGAAGGGTTTTTGTTTTAGAGAATAGATGGAGCTTTCTCTCTCTGGCGACTGTTTGCAAGTAATCTAAAAGTGCTATTTCGTAAAATTTAAAAAGCAAAATAAACTATTTTGGCCGCCACTGTCTTCGACTTGTAACAATTAGTTTTTGTTATTCTCTCTTGTATGTTTAAAGTTAATGATTTAGCTAGTTAAACATAATAACTATTGTTAGTGTTATTGAATTGACCACCAAAACTCGGCTATTGTTCTTAATAAAAACAGGCGGAGATTAAGATATACTAGGTGGTATACCCGTGCCTAAACATGTCGGATGGGCTGTGTCCAAGTGGGCTTATCTGTGGGTGTGGGGGTTTCAACTTTCTTTGTTTGTGCGGGTTTGCCAGCTGCGGGTTGCGGACAATGATATATAAGCTCAAGCTCGCTCTGCTTTTATTTAGCGGGTTTGCAGGCTGGCACGTGGTCCTTGCGACATGCAGCTTTTGGTAAATAGTTAATCTAAAATGTTGTACATAGAGTTTAGTATTTCAATGTCCTCTTCTATTGATATTTGATCTTAACTAACACCAATACGTATCAGTTGATACAAAAGAGATAACATTATTAATTACTAAACCATTCATGTAATTTAAACTTTAGTTGTTAGAAAATGAAGATACAGAATGGTCGAACGCTTCAACAGTTCTCCTCTACCTTGATGAAGCTAAGTTTTAAACTTTGTTTAAGAAAATACATAGCAGATGTCATATAATTCGTTGCTGATGCAGTAGCCTACGCCGCTACGCAATACAGTAACTTTCACAATGACCAACACATATTATCTTTTTGCTTTCACTTCCTCCCAAGTGATAGCATTGGTTGTAAGGATATATTTACAAATGTTTATTATTTAGTGAGAAATTTTGAAAATACGTGTCTTTTATAAATAACTCCTACCAAAGGCCAGATAACATTTGGATTGACATCTTCCTAAGTTATAACATTCAAGTAATCAAATATCAACTAAAGCTAGTAGTATTAACTGTTGTCTCCTATATATTAATTAAAAAATATTTTTAGAAACTAATCTCATTTTTATAAGTATTAACAGTGGTACGATTTTGCTTATATGTTATCACCACATTCATCTTTAGCAAGTATATAAAAATAGGTTTATATTACTAGAAAAATTACACAGAGGTTTTGCACTTTCAATTCAATCACCCCTCTATGTTAATTAATTGTAGTATAGCAAGGGTTTTATGTCAATCCAAATGGGTTTGTTGAAAGCAGAAGAGTTGAGACCAGAGATCTATAAGTCAAGCAAAACAAAGAAGAGTTTTTGTTGCCTAAGCAACTTATCTAACACCCTAGAATGATCAATAACTAAACAGAATTCAAAAGAAGCAATCTAGCAATGATCAAAAGAGCAGAACAGAGCAAAATAAACAGAGTACTAAGCAAATTCGAAATTCAATAAAAGAGAAAACAAGTTCCTAGATGTGGTTATTGATTTGGGGAATCTAGAGACTAACTAAGGTTGTTTCAAACAGCATTGATCAAGCAAACAAGCTAGCAATGGTGGTTCCTAGACATAGAGTTCACAATCAAGCAAGCTAAGTCCAATCTCTTGTAAAATAGCCCTTTACTAAACACCTTAGCAAGATCTAACTCTCATTAGTGCTAAAATATATAGCAAACAATAGCAACCAACTCTATTCATGTAAAAATGCTCCTCAAACAGTCAATCTCTTGAGCCAAGGCCAGCAAATCCTCTATCAAACAAGATTAGCATTTCATCAAACACTTGGTGGGCATAAGAGAAAGCTTAAATTCTAGATAAGTGTGATCAAGACAAATCTAGCTTATAAACAGATTAATAGAGAGGAACCCATGAAATTAAACACTAAACAAACCTTAATCAATCCCTAAGTCCTTTTAATCTACCACATCTAAGAACTCTAAGCAATCTACTCACTAATACTCATGTTTAACACCAAATCACAAAGGAAAAATATGTTAATCATGATTAGAAGAGAGATTAGAGAGAAATTAATGACAAATACAAACTTATATTGAATAAAGCAAGAAAACTGTCTTACAAACCCAGAAAATAAACTCAAGAACAGTGTTATGAGGTGACTTGTCAAAAATCCCAGAAAAAGGGTATTTATACAAAAGAGAAGGAAGCCCTAAAGTAATGACAAAGATGTAAATAAAAACAGGCTCGGACTGGGTTCCTATCGGTCAGTTGTGACCGATAGAAATAATCGATAGGGATCCTATCGGTCTGGAAGATGACCGATAGGGTGACCGAAATATAACCAGTGCACTGCTAGCGGTTACTTCACTGACCGATATGCCTGGTTGATAGGGATCCTATCGGTCACTCCTTGACCGATAGGTTTTGTGCCTTGATCGATAAGCTCTGCAGAGATCGTCTGCCTTGGTCCCTTTTGCTCCTCTTGGTCCAGCTAGCTTCCTAGATCATCCTCAAAGATTCTCCATGCTCCTTATAGCTCCATAGGTACCTAAAAACATCCATAATGCATAGAAAATGCAAACTATGTCCTAAATGCAACCTAAGTCTAAAAGGAGAAGAAAATGGGACAAAAGATGAGGAAAACATGCAAAAGAGAACCAGAACATGTACTAAATGCACGCCTAAATGGTGTAAATACAAGAGATATCAACACCTCCCACACTTGCCTTTTGCTTGTCCTCAAGCAAATAAGAACAAAAGAGAGAGTGAGGTTTGAAGGTGGGCATTCAAATCCAAAAGTGCAAAGGTAAATAGATGGTATCAATGCTTAAGTGCCTAGTTGTAGGATGCAAACATAATCAGATATACTTTAAAGAACCTAGCCATGCTCATCATCTTTCAAAATGACCTCAAATCTCAACTTAGGCAAATGCTCAAATCAATTAACTCTTTAACATTCAATTAATCTCAGAACATGAATCATGCTTATGCAAATCAAGTGAAGACATTTGGTTCAAGGGGTAAGTTTATGAGATAAAAATGATCTCATTTTAGCAAAAGGGTTTTCAAACATAAGGGATCACTCAATGAAAAGGACTCCATCTTAGGCAAAATGCTAAAGGTAAAAGCACACTTGTGCATGCAATTCAAAGCTCCCTTCTACCCAAAGATGAATCCTAAATACTTCTAAACCCAAAGTGAACCCTTAAGTCTACCCTTTTCCTAAACTCTACCTTTTACCCTTCTTCATGGCTGGGGAAACTTCTTCTTTTTGCTTGTGTGGTTGCTTCCTTTTGGTTGGGACTTGCTCTTCTTTGTTGCATTGGCACCTTCATCACCTTTGGTGGATTGCTCTTGGTCTGATATTTCTTCTTTTGACCTTTCTAAGCTTTGTTACTGGCGCCTTTCTTCTTTACACTTAGAGCTTTTACTTCCCTTCACTTAACCACAATGCTAAACTGTTTCCCCTTTTCTACCATTTCAAACCTTTTCCTTGTCTTTCAAAACATATAAACATGAAGTTCAAACCACTTAACACTACTATTTAACCCAAAACTCCTATCCTAGAATCAAGCTCAAGATGCAAGCTGATATTTACAAGAGAGCTTATTATTGCCAGCCTTATTCCTAACACTTTTTGCCAATATAAAATCGAAAATGATATGCAAAGGCCTCACAGCTCTCAACATAGTGTTTAGGCTCAAAAGAAGGTTTTGGTTAAGGGAGTGGATTAACTGTCTCCTAAGTATGAGGATCAGCTACTTGGATCAACAAGAGTGGTAGAAAAGAAAAAAGATGATCCAAATATGTATATGGTAGCCATGAATTCACTTTTCAATGCACAAGACATGATAATTAAAAGTCCAAATTAAAGTTCAAGTTGATAGAGTTGATTTTCAGAGAACAAATGCTTTCAGTATGAGATGAGATGATCAAGATTAGCATTCCAAGCATGGTTCAGTCTTAACTTTTAGTTTTCTTATGATGCATCAAACAACTAATCACTTAAACACTGAAATCATCTCTAAACTCTAAGCACTTTACAAGGAAATTTCTTCATTATGCCCTATGCAAATGCAATGCAACCTATATGTCAACACTAGACTCAATCCTATAAGAATGAAATGCAACTATATGCTTTCTTTTTGGTTTGCAAAAATGCAAAAATTTTCAATTTTTTGTGTTTTTCTATGTCTTAGATGAATGCATGATATGCATGTGACTCAAAGTGAAAGAAAATGAAAAACTAAGAAAACAAAACACAAAGTCAAACCCCAAATCTCTCCCCCACACTTAAATTACACAGTCCCTTGTGTAATGAAAGCAATGAGAGAGAGAAGCAACAAAATATAATACAGAACTGAAAAAAATGCAATGATATAGACAATGGATAGGATGTGGTACCTTGTTTAATAAGTGTAGTGGTGGGAGGATCCAAATGTCTGAGGAGACTTGCTAGCTCTCCTCTTTTTCTTCCTCTCATAAGTTTTTGAAGATGGCGCTGCTTCTTGTGGTGGGGGAACCCAACTTGACCATAACTGCTCAGCTTGAAAAGAAGTACCTTGGTGACCCCATTGCCAAGTTTGATGAACCTCAGAAGGGATGGGAATTGGCGCTTCCCATGCTGATGGAATATGGGTCCTTGGCTCATATGATGAAGCCCTTGGTTGTGCCCATGTCCCCCATTGATCACTTGGCTGTGCATGAAAGGAATGTCTTCCATGGGGGTTCCAAACAGCCTCCTCTTCTTCAGTTGGGTCAGCATGTGGCATAGGCTCTTCTTGATGAGAAGTGTGCTCATAAGTGTGGCTCTGATGGGAAGCTCCTGCTGATGTAGCTTTGTTCTTCCTGAACTTCCCTTTAACTATTTTCACCAAACTCCTAATGGCTTTGTCTTGCCACTTACACCATTTTTGAAGGGTGTTTATGTGTTCATGATCAGACTTCATAGAGCTCTCTTGGCTTGGGCCTCCATAAGGTTTGAAGTGGAACTGCCTTGAGCTGTAGTTCAACACTTCTTCTTCATCAAGCTCATCTTCTTCTTCTTGTGTTTCCCCTTGGCTTTCAGCGCTAGCAGTAGCATCTTCATGGACTTCTTATTGACCTTCTTCTCTTCTATCTTCTCTTACTTCTTCTTTAACCTCTTCTTGTTCTTCTTCCTCACTAGCTTCTTCTCTTTCTTCAGGGACAGGGCTGCCTTGGTAAAGCTCATCCTCACTTGGATTGAAACTGATGATGCTCCTTGTGGTGAAGGAGGTAAGCCTTGGATTAGGGAGAAGGACTCTTGCTGGCTCTTGGAGTTCATTGAGGAACT